TCAACTGCTGAGCTATACCAGCTGGGCTAGATTTTTTTTTTTAAATTTTTTAATTGATTTTTTACAGAGAGGAAGGGAGAGGGATAGAGAGTTAGAAACATCGATGAAAGGAAAACATCGATTGGCTGCCTCCTGTACACTCCCTACTGGGTATGTGCCCGCAACCAAGGTACATGCCCTTGACCAGAATTGAACCCGGGACCCCTGAGTCCGCAGCCGACGCTCTATCCACTGAGCCAAACCGGCCAGGGCTAGATTTTTTTTTTTAAGTACACCAGAGAGAAGTTCATAAACTAAGAGATGATTAGTATGCCTACATATCCATGAGATGCAGGCTCATGTTACAAACTATCCTGCTGATAATATTAAATAAACAACCCAATCTTCTCAACTTTACTTTTACCTCTATAAAATAATGCAGAATTTTGTTTATTTTTTTAAAAGATATTTTCATTGATTTCAGAGATGAAAGGAGAGAGATAAGGAACATCAATGATGAGAGAGAATCATTGATTGGCTGTCTCCTGCATGTCCCACATTGGGGATCAAGCCCACAACCAGGGCGTGTGCCCTGAGCAGAAATCAAATGGTGACTTCCTGGTTCATAGGTCAACACCTAACCACTGAGCCATGCCAGCTGAACCAGAGTTTTGTTTCTTTAAAGAAAAACTTAGAAGACATATGACAACTCCTTTTCAAGATTAAGTATTAATATAAGTCACAACTTTAGCAGTTGTCTGCAAATAAACTATCATGTAAAAAAGCTGCTGACTAGATCATTGGCTGTCTGGAGCTAGTACGTATGAGCAGGAAGGATAGGGTTGATTGATATAAAGGTGCAGGAGGAAAAATTTGGGGGTAATGCCTATATGTATGGTAATTACATAGTTAAAACCCACCAAAATGTACATTTCAAGTGTGTTCACTTTAAAGTAAATCATACTCATTAAACTGATTTTAAAACTTAAAAAAAAAGGCAGTTAGAAACACACAATGAATCATCTTATGATAAGCATGCATGGCTAATAGTTTTTAGTTCTGATTTCCAGTACTTTCAAGTGACAGAGCATACCTTGTTCCCACCTTGATCCACATATCGAGCTGTATTGTTATATACTCTCAGCATTGGTACAAGGCCATTGGAATTGCCGTTAGTCTGAAAGAGAGACTGAGAATAAAGGCATCTGGAGGAGAAAGAGGGGGATCAGCAAGAAAAATAACAAAATGGCTAAAGAATGAACAAAATACTCTTTCCTAGTCTATAAAGTTTTACATGCTCTCCATTTTACCTCTGCTTTGAAAATATAATGCCCAATAAAATCAACAAATTGTTGAATAAATTATAATTATATACAAAGTTATTTCACAGCATCTCTAATTTACAGTTAAACATAATAAATACAAGTCAAAAGAATCCAATATCAGGATAAATTCCACACCTTATAAATATTTATTCTCCAAAGAATTCAAGGCAACTTACAATAAGAATTATATGCAATGGGTAAATCAAGACAATAAACAAGTAAATAGAGATTCTCAGCAATAAATGGATTCTGGAATGAAGATAAGAAAATATAGACTCCTAAGACTAGAATAAACCTCATCAAATTTCAAAAATAATCCTTCTAACCCATGGCAAGCCTTTGAACAGTCTAGAACAGTTATGGCGAACCTTTTGAGCTCGGCGTGTCAGCATTTTGAAAAACCCTAATTTAACTCTGGTGCCGTGTCACATATAGAAATTTTTTGATATTTGCAGCCATAGTAAAACAAAGATTTATATTTTTGATATTTATTTTATATATTTAAATGTCATTTAACAAAGAAAAATCAACCAAAAAAATGAGTTCGCGTGTCACCTCTGACATGCGTGTCATAGGTTCGCCATCACTGGTCTAGAAAGATAAACGAGCAATAGTTCACCCTATTATGTAAAAGTACTGGATATATCACAGCACCTCCAAAACACCACATGGAGTGGTTTCCTTCTGGACTCTGTATCTTTATTCTATAGAATTAGATATTTTCTTCAGATTACAAATGAAGAAACAAACACAAAGATGTAAAGTAACTTGCACTTGGCACTACTAGTAAGTAGTGGAAATGGGATTTAAATTCGGGTCTTACTTAAAATCATTATCTTGACTCCCAAGGAAAAGTGAAGTAGCAATGCTTGAATTTACATCACCGAATGTCGATGTTTAAAACTTAATCCTGGCTCTATCACATATTAAATGACTAATCTCTGGAAGTAATTTAACTTTCTAAGCCTTAGCTTCTCCACTTGTAAAGTGAATACAATAGTGCCTTTAGGTCCTACACCCACAAAGTTAGTGTAAGGCATAAAGTTCCTACCATGTGTCTGTAATATTATCTATGTCATAAGGTTGTAGCTGTAGTAAGAATTAAATGAGTAGTTCATGTAAAACTTTTTATAACAGACTTAGTACACAGTAAGCAATCAATAAATGACAGCTGCTATTATTATAAAACTAGAGGCCCGGTGCACAAATTTGTGCACGGGGGGGGTCCCTCGGCCTGGCTAGCAATCAAGGCCTATTGGGGGGCCAGCCAGTCAGGGGGAGGAACCCCAGGAGGTTGGCCAGCTGGGGGGAGGGACCCCGGGAGCTTGGCCGGCCAGGGGGAAGGGGCCACAGAGGTTGGCCGGTGGGGAGTGGGAAGTGGCTGTGGGAGGCTGGCCGGCCAGGTGTGGGGGGGACCCCCGTGGAAGGTTGGCTGTGAGAGTGCACTGATCACCGGGGGGCAGCTCCCTGATGGTCAGTGCGCGTCATAGCGACTGGTCGACCAGTTGTTCCGGTCATTCGGTCATAACAGTTGTTTAGGCTATTATATCCTAATATATAAAAAGCCAGGGTCATCATGACCGAAATAACCAGACAGATGACAGAACAGCAGGCTGTGTTGGGTGACCAGGTCAGCAGGGGGGTTAGTGAGGGACGACCAAACGACTGAACAGCAGGCTGCGTGGGGCAACCAGACCGGCAGGGGGGTTAGTGAGGGACGACGAAACGACTGAACAGCAGCTGCGTGGGGAAACCAGGCCAGCGGGGGGGGGTTAGTGAGGGACGACCAAACGACTGAACAGCAGACTGTGTGGTGCGACCAGGCCAGCAGGGGGGTTAGTGAGGGACGACCAAACGACTGAACAGCAGGCTGAGTAAGGCAACC